CTAAAAGTTTTGCCATTTCTAGAATTTTTTGTTTTTGTTTTTTTGTTAGGTATGTCATTAAATTCTAAAAATTCTGCCTCACCCACTGTATAAATGGCTCTCACCTTATATCTTTCATATTTATTCTGAATGTTCACAATTCTAAAGAAATAAAATTAGCAGCTTTTTCTATACATTCTAAGTGCATTTAGTTTTTTAGAATAACAAAAATTTTTAATTAAATCCCAAAATTTTAAAATGAAGAGGAAACATATTGAATAAAGAAAATGATTACATAAAGAGAACGAAAATTGTTCTTCAAAGATATGCATACTTATTATTATGTAAATTAACCAATTGTTATTAATTTCATCCTTTACTATAACTTCCCCTTCCCGTTTTCTCACCAGAATACAAATCAGTTAGGTAGTTTTTAAGTTGAGGTTTTTGGATTGCGAGACAGAGTGTGTTTCTGGTCTCCACTTGTACTCTGCATTAGTTCCTACTACATGTGATAATTTGTAATTATTCATCTTTGTGTTCTCGCTGCCAACATTTGAATTTGTTACAATGACAGGGTTACTGAGCAAGCTTAGATTAAAATTAAATTATGTACTGCCTGACTACTAGTCCACATTTTTAATTTGACTGTTCCTATTTAATTACATCACCATGAGATGTAGTCGATTTTGTTAGCATAAGAACATGCCTTTATGTTCTAAATTATTTTTAAATAATTAAATAAGCAGTTTATTTAAACCTTTATCTGACTCTGTAGTTACTTTCAGACATAGCGATAATTTGCTTCATGTGTATCTGGGATTTTGAACTATTTTCAAGTAAAACCTCACAGGTACGTTGTTGAGAGATTGACAAGTTAGGAGATAAAACACGTAGAAACTAGTGGGAATGGGGGTTTGCAAATCGAAACAAGTTTCTGATTGTTAGAAAAGAAGCTTAAAGAGAAGGATATCTGGGAAGGCTTCAAATTAAAAATATGCATAAATATTTTGTTGTGTGTTGTTGATATTTGCAACACATATGTTTTAATATGTTGTTGATATTGTAGCTTTTAATGTGTAATTATCCTAATACTGTTTAAGAATCAATGTTATAAATTACTCGTATTTTTAACTGTGATATGTTATTACATTGTGATTTTAATAGTACTTTTTCAACAAATACAGTCAAGTACCGAAAATCTGCTGACCTGAAATCCGCCAACTCCTGAAATCCGCGTTGCCTCTCAAAATGTAAAAATTTAGTATATAGGTTCCGGAAACCACAACATGGAGTACAAAATATCGAAGAAAAAATACTTACTGGATAATGACGTCATAATTACCGAATAATAATGAATCACAATGGAAATACCAAATTATTGACATCATGATAAGAATTTTTTCCCCCTTCCAATCTGCATCGAGGTAAAAAGCAGACGATTAACTCAACTCTTCTTTCAAGTTCATTGTACTTTCTGAGCTTTGTTATTTCATGAGATTGTTTAGTGATGTTGTTTTTTTTACCTGGATATTTTTGTGAATAAATTAAGAATATTTTAAATTTCAGCGCTTTTTAATACAGTGACAAATAAGAAACGTGCTCGTAATTTTACTGCTTGCAACGTTGAAAAACGTAAACACGTTGCATTGATGGTAATGAGAAAAGTGGAAATTCTGCTAGCTAGGTTTATAGCTAGCTAGAATCGTATGAAATTACCACATGGACTGTGTATGATATACGGAACAATAAAGAAAAGCTGATGAAATTTTACAACAACATTGATTCTAACACCGGAATCCGAAACTGGAAATCTTTACATGAGGCGAAATCGGCAAACCTTGATGCTGTCTCGTACGAGTGGTTTCGGCAGCGGCGGAGTGATGGGGTATTCAGGACTGCTCCGGAAAGAAAAGGGGAAGCAGATTCATGCTGATTTAAAAATAGAGAAGCCTAATGTAAATGAACAATATAATATAATCAGTTTATATATGTAATAATAATTTAATACATATAATTAATTCTTGTATTAATGTATGTAATAATTTAATTAAATGTATTTAATACACCTTATTTATTTTGCACTTTTAGTCTGAATATTATCTTTTCTGTCTTGAAATCTGCAAAAATCTTAAAATCCGCACAACCTTAGGTCCCAAGCGTTGCGGACTTCTGGACTTCTGCTGTATTTAAAAAAATAAATTTAATTGTGGCCCTGTAAATCCATAATGACAAATGGTATCTAATTTAATCATAATTTACTGCTCACCCTTAAAAGTTATCTCTGCACATTAAAGCGAGTTATTGCCTTAATCGTTACTGTGGTCACAAGATACAGCACAAAAACGTAAAAATTAATGTGAAACTTATTCTTTGCATCTAACTAGACTTAAAATAATACAAAACAACTTATCACCTGTGATGGTTTAGTGGCTGATTGGAACCTTAAGTATATTAACTGGTTTATAACCCCAGGAACTCTACGAGAAGCTATGACACTAACTGCATCAGGCAGAGAGAGCAGAACTAATTTTTAAAACTTGCCAACCATTCCTGCATCAGGCTGTCAGGTTTGTTCTGATCAACAGGTCTTTCTATAAGCAGGCAACAGCGGCAACAGCTAATCTTCTGTTATTTATGATTTTACTTCTCATTTTAACATAGGCTGTTTGACATAAAATCTACCTACTATTTTACGAAACCTCTAGACTGAGCAAGTACATGACAAAAGGAGACATAAAAGAAAAAAATCAACCTAAAGCTAACTTTTAATGAAATGGGAATAAAATGTCACTAATCTTCTTTCAAATATGTCCACCTATTATGAGTGTAAAATATTTAATGCTACTTGATAAATTTTATGAAGTGGATTTTATTCTCAATTTTTACTTCCTTGTACGAAGTAAAAAGGAAGTATTGTAATCGCGAAAAGTTTCAGGCAGCATATTTCAACGAAAATATCCATTTTGACTGCTATCGAATGCAATTTAACGATGCTTTTGCGTCATATCTGTACGTAAGGACAGAATAAAATACTCTTTTCCTTCAAAAAAATTATAAAACTGCTTTAAAATTAATTCTGAAGAGAAATTTTCATGGCGTCTGTACGAACGTATCTCGCATAACTCAAAAACGAGTAGCCTCAGAACGTTGAAATTTTGTATATAGGACTGCTATAACATGTAGATGTGCACCTCGTATTTTGGTTGCAATAGGCCGCACCAAACGTATATAAATATATTTATATATATATGCACTCTGTTACCCGGCTCAGTGATCTCAGTTTCTTTACTCTTATATGTTTGTAAATTGTACATTTTTTGCTTTAAAAATGATTCAATTATGTTGTTTTTATCTTCCAGTTAAGGATTTTATGCCTTTAGTAAATCTGTGTGCAATATTTTTAGAATTATCAGCAATTTTTAAAGTTGTTTAATTGCCGCTAAGCCTTTTTTAATGGCGGCCATTGATGTTTACATTTGAAACAGGAGACTAGTGGATTTGTTGCCAATCTAGAGAAACTTAGCTTCGCAACAACAAAGATAACGTATTCATTTATTATTGCCAATTAAATCATGCTTAATTCTTTCTGGAAGTTTTTCGAGAAAATAAGTGTTTGAAATTTACTTCGTAATTTTTAATATAGATATTTTGAGTTTTTATGTATTTTTGCCTTCTCGCGAAGTGAGAACTGAATTAATTAAATGAGAAATACTCAATCGTCTGTGTAAAACAGTTTCTTTTTCTTTTTCTTTCTTTCTTTTTTCTTTTCTTTTCATTTCTTTCTCTCTCTCTCTCTCTCTTTTTTTTTTTTTTTTTGCTTAATTTCTTTTATACATTATTCTAGCTTTATTATAGTATTTGAATAGAACATGTGGCAACGATTAGATAATTCTGTTCTTTAAATGATATAAATTTTGTGCATTATGAGTTATAATGGGAACGAAATATAATACTGAAGGGGAGTCATCAGTTTTGCGCAACACAAAAAGTGAGAATTTTAGCTGATTTTCGAGTTTTAATAAGTCAAATTGTTTTTGTCATACATATATGAAATTTTCAGTGTGTCATCTTTATACATAGATGGTTATCTTTCTTGATTTATTTTACTTAATAGTGTATGAGAATTTGTTTTATAAGAAAAAAACTACTATAATTATAATTATTATTAACTATAATTATAAAATTATAAATTATATTACTTAATAGTGTATGAGAATTTGTTTTATAAAGAATAAAACTAACTATATAACTGTATTTTCCGAAAATTTAAAATTTGTACTGAAGCACTGCTCGTAAACTAACAGTAATACAAATTTAGTTACAGTAATAATTTTTAAGTGAATCTAGTGCCAGAGCGTTGCCATGGTAAACTAATACTAGAGTGAATTTTAAAGAATACATTTATTCTATTGTGGTTTATGTGCTGTTGGCGAAGTAGACTTAATTCAATCCAATAAGTTTAAATGGAATGCAAGAAAAATGCGTATAATTTAATATTCCGTACAAGGAAGTCATGTGGTGTACACATCAGATTTTTTTATACTTATGTTTATTAAATTATGTTTAATAATAATGCATCCTACTTATGGATATATTTTATTCTTGGGATGGTATTACAAAAGTGATGTTTTGGCTTAGATAATATCTTTAATTGAATTTATTGAGTTTTAATTTGCTGATAGGTCCTTAATTTTTTTCATTAATGGTCTATAAAAGTGTTTAATCTCCATGTGCAGAAATGTGTACAAACCCTGTAAGTTCATTTTGTGACTGAATGATTTAACTATGGTTCTGATGGTATGTGAATACTTTCTTATCAGATAATTTTTCTATAATTCATTAATCCATAATTTATCAAATTTTGTTTTATGAAGTAATAAAGGCACTAAATAATCTAAACAGGATATGAAATGTTTTGATCCTAAATAAGTATGATGGATATGTATATTGGAAACTGTTTGCGAATTTCATTTAGATTGAAATAATTGTAAATTTAATTTTTCTTTCCTTTTTTGCAGAGCAGTTGGCTTCATGGTAACAACCTTGTTTTTTCCTGTTATACCATACATTTTGATGTTGATATTTCTTGCATTTTGGATGGCTGTTGCACTGTATCCTTTTAAGATTGAAAATGATATTACTTAGAAATTTTTATTACTTGCATGTAAAGTAATTACTTAGAAATTTTTGTTACTTGTATGTAAAGTTACTGCAAACACATAACAAAGGTATTTTTATGCTGGTGCTGGATGGAAATGTAGCAGATAAGGATCCCAAAGAAGTATATGGCAAAGTTGGTATTAATGTAAAAGGAGTATCTTCATCTTGTAAAAAGTATGCAATTAAAGAACTTAGGCTTTTAATTTGTTAAAAGACATACTGTATTCAAACTATATTATACATACAAAAATTTCTAATAGTAATTTGTTGTCAGCTGTGATTTTTCTTTTGCTGCATATATTGTTGTATAAATGATATTGAATACTTTTAATATATAGTTCATCATTTTTTTAACTGAATTAATTTTACATACTTAAGTTCAAATGACTTTAACTTACGCAGTTATATTGCTTCTTCGGGAAAAGCTTCATTTGTCATTTCTGATGCTCCGAGTGGCTCTAACTATACAAATGGTTCCCTTTGTCATCCTGAGGTAAAATATGGATTTTTATTTTTAAGAGATATTTATATTATTTGCCATTTACATATAGGTTTTAAGACAGTTTGGGTTAGAATTATGTAAATTTCAACTGTAGCAGTTTAAACATTCTGTTCTCATTTGCTTGTTGATATAATGTTTATATTACTTACTGTTTTTACTAGCTAAATTTGTTGAATAAATTCTTATTTTTCAGTAGAAAAAGTTTCATTTAATAGTTGAGTAGATTAATTGTAAAATTTGAATTTAGTGCAGAAGACATTTTCATATCTGCATTTTTTATAGCAATATTATTACTGTTTATGCAACTTAAGGGCTCATTATAAAAGATGTTATTTAAAGTAACATTTAAATAAAATTTGTGCAAGACAGCAAATTGTGTAATTCAAATGAAAAGCTAAAAAACTGTTATTAAAAACTATTAATAGTATAAAAGAAATGTGAATGTATTTAGCATTGCCTATTTTGTTTTTCAATATGATATATTTTTAATGAATTTTTTAAGATGTATAATCTGATACTGAATGAACAAAGAGTAACCACCAAAATTATTAATGCATATCAAATAATATTTGTCAGCATTGACGATGCATGAAAGAATGTGTTGTATGGTGTCATTTTATCAAGTAAAATAATTTTATGGGTACATTGCTAAAATTTATTTAACACTGCATTAAATATTTTATTTTGTATTTTTAAAATCTATTTTATAATAAGATTATTTAAGTAACTTAGATCAGTTAAAATTATGTTTAATTAGTTTCCAAATTGTAATTGAAAATTATTATGTATGTTTGGTTTGAAAAAAGTGTTTAACACTGTATTCTGAAACACATTCAAAGGAACAGTTCAACCAATTAATGCAGTGAATTTTATCACAACTTTAATACAGTGATCCATCAAAAATAGGGAATTAACTAAATCTAGGAAAATATTTAGAATGTTTTGATTTAAGCAATAGGTAAAAAATAATCCAGTTAAAATATTTTTTCAAATTTAAAGTATTTCCAAGATCCACTAAGACCATAGAAAATGCTTTAACTTTTTGTAAATGTTCATAAATCTGATAAAGCTGAGCATTTTATTTTGATCATTTCTGTTTTCTTCTTCTGTATTTTTATAGAGACAGCCTGAATACTAATAAAACTAAATCAACAAAAACTAACAGAAATAAATGTATTGCAACATGTAACAAAATGATGCTAATAATGGTGATTTGGAGTAGAGCTAGGGGCCACAAAATTATTAATGCATATCAATTGCTACATTACTCTGTTACTAGATTTACAAAGTAATACAAATGATAAATGAACTTAAAAGTTTTCTTTCAAATGTTCCATATGGAAAGTGCTGTAAGAAACATATATTACACGTGCATAGTTTTCATTAAAGCAAAAATTTGAAAAATAATTCAGGGCCAAAAATGTGGGTCAAAAATGGCAAAAGAACATGTGTGAGATGGTTATTGTAGGAAAAGCAGACACAAGTTCTACTATATTTTGGCATTATGCACATTGATGATTTTTCATGATATTGTTTGTCAAAAACGATTTTACTGTAAAATTAAAAGAAAAAGGGCAATATTTTGTTAATCTGTGTATAAGCATTTTACAGTATTTTTCTAATTCTGATATATATTGTATGTATTTTCAAACTTGATCTTTTAAATACTATTCATTTTTAAGGCATCTTCTCGAGAGGACTTCATGTTTCTGGGGAATTAAAAAATTTCTTAATTTTTGATGAAATTTTTTTTTGTTTACTATGAAACTATAGAAAAATAGAAGCAATTTCTATATTTCTTTTCAGGTGTCATGCTTTAAGAAATTAATTTCTTTACAATGTTAATCTTTTGGAAATAATGTTTTATAAATAAATTTTTGTGCAAAATCAAATAAATATAGATCTATCATAAAGGATATAATTATGTGCTCTAAGCTTTAAACTATGAACCTTTAGTCTCAAACCCATTCCTGTAAGTACTAAGCCATTAAGACTCAGATAAAATCAAGTAATATATAAAATACTAAGAACTTCTTTTATTTCTGAGAGGTCCATGTTAGTCATTTACAAAAGTTGTGTTTTTAATATTTCTTATAACTGTGTGGAGTTTAAGCAAAATTGATAAGTTCAAAGCTATAAATTCTATTTTATCTCTTTAGTCATGTTGAATTTGCATTGTAAATCTTAAATTTATCATTTCTTTAATGTATTTAATCATATTACATTGTATACCCTGTTTATTGTTTGAAAAATTAACTAATAAATTAATTTTTTTTCTATTAAGGATTTTACTAATGCTGCTTCCAAAATAAAGTGCATGTTCAGATCTTATGGCTTGAAGGACAATATTTTCACAGCTCATGCATATAACCTCTTTGGGTTGTTCTGGGGTTTATTTTTTGCTGTAGGCATTGGACAAGTCTCTCTTGCAGGAGCATTTTCTACTTATTACTGGACTCTTGATAAATCAAAAGGTTTGCCATGTGGTGCAGCATTTACTGGTTTTTATTATTGTATCAGGTTAGTATTTATGTATTGTTTTGTTAACCGTTTCATTATCTTACAAACCTCAAATATTGGCTACATTTTCCGTCTCCAAACATAACTTTTTGGCCTCTGAAATTGGCTTCAGTTTATGACAGGATTTTTCCCCCTTTTCTTTTTACCAGTTGTAAAGACCTGTTTAGTAGAAACTGTTTAAATATCACAGTCAAAAATGTTAAATAGTGTCACCCTGCCCAGAAGAAAAAGTTTCTTGTATTCTTTAGTCTTTTATCTGAAAATTGACAAACACAAGCCCCCTAAAAACATGCTTGTTAATGACCAGTAACTTCCATTTCAGGTTAGCTGAAGACCCCACTAGCAGACGAGCAGTAAAATCACTGAACATTAGTTGTTCAGTCCAAGGTTCAAATCCCATGAATTGGCTGGCCGCATGGGCGTTTTCATGGTTTTCCCCATGGGTAACATGTATACAAGCCAATTTCCATATGGGATTCTCTATCTTCCCTTAGGCAGATACCCCTCGAGTGCTTTGCCCATAATCACATAAACCAAACCAATGTCAGATCAAAGGAGAGTGGAAGTATGTTCTTTCTTTGTGTCTTTTTATGTGAACTTTGCTTGGTATAATCCTGAAACAACCTTGCTCTGGACAGAATGTGACCAATATGTATAAATATCCTCTTTTCTTGTTTTTTTTTTTTTTTTTTTTTTTTTTTTTTTTTTTTTTTTTGTGGCTTACTCCACCCAATTGACTGCAACGTCAGATCAAGTTCATGAAGCCATGGATTTCAAAATTCTGAAGAACAACTCCATACAGGAGAGCAGTTGGCTTCTCAGGCAACAAAGTGGTTGGATTGAAGCTGCATTTCGGGCAAAAAGGGTAGACTTTAATGCCTGGCACAAAACAAAGAGCACGCAGATCATCGTAGCTAGAGATGTTTTTCAAATCTATTGCTGGCCCCTGTTAGGACAATCAACATACCACTCGGGGTACTTTCTCCAAGAAGTGCTGATTTTTAACTTGACCCATGAAACAATATCTGAAAGGCCACCATCAGGAGAATCCTTAAAGCTGGACTTCCTGGCCTCTCTATCTGCTATATCATTACCATAAACCTCGATATGTGAAGGCATCCATTGAAAAATTATCTTATTATGGGCAGTCAAGCAACCCAGATGCTGCACAGTATTTAAAGTAGTACTGTTTCCATAGTGCTGAGTGGTGGAATCAGCTTTCACTCAGAATCCAGCTGTCAGTATTTCCTCACTAACATACTAACTCAAAGGCTCCTCAGTAGCAATGAATTCTGCTTGAAAAACAGAGCAATAGTTAAGGTTTCTCTTAAAAATCTTAATTCTGTTCCCTTGCCTGATAAATATTCTTCTACCTAAGTTACCTCTTTTGCTACATTCTGCATAGTAAGGACTTTAAGGACCAACTTTCTTACATTCTGCATTTTAAGGACCAACGCGCAGAGAACGAAGCACAGTCACAGGATGGACCCTCTGAAATGGAACGTCGCCACTGGCCCTTCTATTTTCAGCAGTTGAGCCTAATTTTACTCCCCCCCAAAAAAAGTATAAAATCAACATTTGGATATAATGACTTCTGTTTTTTAACTTGCATATTTAATGTGCATTAATATAAAGATTATCACATTAATAGAAAAAAATTAAACAGCTGTAGTTAGTTAAATTCGAATTTAAAAATTCTGCTGTATGTGAAATAATTCGAAACAAGGATTGACACACAGATATTGTTACATTGCATGGATTGATACATTGCATATTTTGCACTCAAAGCACGTAGTTTGCTTTCACTTTTCCTTGTTTTTAGAGCACAGAGCACATCTTCTCCTACCTTTATTTATTACCTTTTCTGTCAGCATAAATTTTTGGGAAATGTCTTCCAGTTAGACTGTATCTCAGTTAGGTATCTCGGTCTCTTAGCCATGGCTAACGGAATGAAACTGAATATAACCTCAGCACATGTCCCAGAACTTCTTCAAAAGACACCCAGAAATATTTCATCCTCAAACCCTGTGTGACATCATGCTTAAATTAGAAAACTTAACGGTTTTCTAGATTGAAAAGCAGTATCCGCCACAGTGACCGGAAAGTGATCAAGGAAAGGAAAGACTTTCGGTGGTGGGATATCTGTTACTGATCAAGTCAATATATATATTATATGAAAAGTAAAACCCATTATATATCATAATATAATGCCTGGGTCATTATATATATAAAGACCATTCAAAGCATTATATATAACTGGCAGCTTCGCTGCCAGCCTTCGTCTGGCTTTTAAATGTACCGGAAAAATGACTGAAGGGAACACCAAACGTTAAATTTAAAAACTGCATAGAATTTTACTCTGCAGAAAAACTTCATAAAAGAAAAGTTATTATGTATAACAAAATTACAATGAAATAAGCAATATCCCTTAATACAAATATCAATTATCCTAATAAATAAATTGAAATAAGCAATATCCCTTAATACAAATATTAATTATCCTAATAAATAAATTAACCAACTTCCCTTTGCAAAATCTTAAGAACTCAAATGGTATAAAGGAGGTTAAGAACTTTGTTTCCTAAAAAAATCACTCAAAACTTTTCAATATCTTAAAAACAGTGAAATGAGCAATAAATAACATATTCTGATACCAACAATTCTTGGTAATTACCACTAACAACAATCATGTTCGAAACGGACATATCCATTCCATTTGAAATCGGAGGAATTCGAAGAGATGAATAATAAAATTTTAAAATGTCGCGGTAATGCACAAATATTCAGTAACCAATCAGGGAGTTGTTTACAGGTCGTTAATGCACAAATATTCAGTAACCAATCAGGGAGCAGATTACATCATGCATCGAATTAAAATTATTTAAATAATCATTCATAATAAAATCATTTTTTAAAACAAATGCAAAATTAAATTGTATTTTAATATTTAACAGTCATAAATAAATGTTTAAAAACATTAGATACTAAATTTATAGATATTAATAAACCCAATTACTTTGTAAGTAAGATGACGTCATTCATTACATCATCCACAACATAAAATTTTATAAAATATTTATAAACAACAAAATTTTTATTTCAAATAAAAATGCAAAATTAAATTGATTTTTAATATTTAGAAGCCATAAATAATATTTAAAACACGGAATTTATGCATAATAAAATGCATTATTTTTTAAATAAAATGACAACAAAGTATCGGTTACCATAAATAACTTATCCAGCAGTGGGTTTACCATAAGTCGTATTACTCGCCAAAAGAAAAATTCCCAAAATCTGTGCAACTGTCTACCAAAGTAGCACCAAAAATTACAATGAAATAAGGTATATCCCTTAATACAAATATTAATTATCCTAATAAAAAAAATTAACCACCTTTCCGTTGAAGAAAAAAAGTCATGCAAAGCTTTTCAATATCTTACAAACAGCGAAATAAGCAAAAAATAACATGAAAGAAACTCAAAAAACAAAAAATTCCGTGCAGAATTTTACTCTGCAGAACAACTTTATAAAAAACATCAATAAAAATGTATTATATATATAAAAAAATGGCAATGAAATATGCCAATCCTCTTAAAAACAGTGAAAATAAGAAATACGATGAAAAATTGTTGCCAAACCCATATTTCTAAAAGAATGAAACTATTAAAAATGATGCAATTTCGTCAAAAATCTTATCAACAACAATAAGAAAGGAAAATTGTTGCCAAAATCACATTTGTAAAGATGTGAGATGTGAAAAGTATACTCGGAAGCTTCATTTCAAAAATTTTTTAACAATACAAAATATTATCCTTTTTTCAAAATTTTTTTTGTATAAGCAGTTGCTAGGATGAAAGTTTAACATGTCCAAAAATCGAAGAAAAATAAACTGTACATTTTTAAAAATAAACTTTTTTAGAAAAAATCCCGTTGAAAAAGTGTTAAGCTCCCTTTATTAAATAAATTCGTATTTAATCGATTTATTGAAACACGAAATTTATTTTAAGTTTGTAAAATAGCTAAGTGCCTACTATTCATGACGATGTGAAAATGGAGTGCGTAGAGTAAAATCTCGCTTTCCTATAGCCCATTATGTCTCAAAATGACGTGATTTTGTCACAAAACAAAATAAAAAAAAAATTCTAATTCTAAATTCGAAAAAATCGCTTTGAGGTGCTCTGGCTCTTGTCTAGATGCACCTATGTACCAAATTTCGTAGCCATGGGTCTATTAGCTTATGCGCAACGCAAACGAAAGACACACACACACGCACACAAGACTCTTTGTTTTATTATATGTAGAGATGACCTATGAAATCGAATAAAAACAGAAACACTAGCTCTTTTCCTGAGAAATGTGAGCGAGTAAGACGCATTACATGTCGAGAAAGCTGATAGTCTTTCCTCTTCTGTAATAATGCTGTAATGTTACTTTTTAATTAACCAAGAAAATTAAATGTTAAGTTTCAAAATAAATAGAAAATGCACAACTGGTCTTGAGTTTTTCCATCTCGGAAGTTCAGCGATGTTACACCTGCTATAGTCAGTCGGATGCACTTTCCTAACACACACACACACACACCACACCACACCACACCCCCCACACTCCACACCCCCACACACACCCCAGAAGCACAGAACAGAAACTAATGGCAGTACATTAAGGTCAAATGCCATATGAATCAACCCATAGGAAAACAGTTGCCATTATCTCCATCTACTGGCTTTTAAAAAATTCAAATATATTGAGGCCCACCAGCGGCCAAGCGGTAAAGTCGCTGAACACTGGTAGTTCGGCCGAGGTTCGAATCCCGCGAACGGGCTGGCAGCATGGGTGTTTTCGTGGTTTTCCCAATGTGTAACGTGTATACGAGCCAGTTTCCTTTAGAAAGTCCTCCACGAAGGCATCCCTCCCCTTAGACAGATAGCCCTGGTGTGCTTTGCCATAATTAAATACACACACACACTCAAATATATTGATCCGTTTTAAAGTTACGC